TTTCAAAAAATCATAACTCCGGTTCAAATTATCGTAAAGAGAAAAATAAAATGAGAAAATTTACCAAATTGTGTTCACTTTTAAGTAAAAATTGCAGAAATCACTTCGAACTAATTTTAAGGGTGTTTTTGGAACTCCAAATACGTCAGTTTAATTTTAAGGGGGGGGGGTTCGGGCCCCCCAAATACGTCAATTCAAATAGCATTCAATTTTCTCGCGAAATAAGCCAATTTCCCCTCGATTTGCCTCCACATTATCTCAGTGAGGTCAAAATCAGTTCAACATTACGTTGGCAAGTCCCCAAATTTCGGGAAAATAAGTTTAAAAAAAGACGAAATTTAAACGGTCAAATTTAGTCATAAATATGCTTTATGACTTCTGCATACTTCCGTGGCATCAGTGGTTGCGCTTTGAACACCCAACATACACTTATTCAGGTTAGAAATCGGCAAAAAGGGCGGCATTTTACTTGAAAGCACTATTTTCATTGGCTCTCTGGAGGAATAATACCATGTAAGGCTGTTTTGTCTGAAACTACGTCAATTTTTGCGCACTCACGGTTGTCTCACACGTAAGTATGTCTCGTTTTCATGAAGATAAGAAGTTTGCTTTTTAGCTATACTCAGTGATTACATCTAAAAAAGACGGGTGATTTTACGATACCCAACAGGAATAGCTAAAATGTGCAACACTTTAAAAATAAAAGTGCACCAATTTTAAATAAATTTCATTACTTAGTTATGGTGATTGCTAAACAAGCCATTGAATCAGCTATAAGCTCCTCCCGCGGGACTGCTGGAGGTCCACGCAAGCATGGCGGCCCTGCCAAATTGTGTCGGTAACGTAACCGACACAGCGTAACGGACACCGACACTTAAAAATGTGAAATGAAAGATGATACAAAAAATGAAACATGGCAATTCTTGAGATAAGAGGTGAAATTACTGCCGCCTTGAAAATTTTTTAAACTTGAGGGACTTCCTGTTATAGTTTAATAATTTTAAATTGAGGATTTTGTGTAGTGCGTAATTAGTGCTACTGATCTAAACATCACTGGTTTTCATAAAAATTAAAGTTTTCAGTGTAGAAAAAGCCGACTTATTAGTAATGGTTCAGTCAAGAAAACTTTAGGGAATAATTTGATTGAAGTTTTGAAACTCCTGTTTCATCTGGCGAGATATACCTACACTTCACTTAGGTAATATAGGTACAACACCAAAAATACGTTTCTAAAAGTGGCGACATTCTTTCCAATGACACTTCTCGCTTAAAATTAACATTTCAGTTCAACGTGGAAATTTTCTTGAACATTATAGAGTCTCCTTTCGGCAAATATTGCCAAAGATTCCATGATCAGTACTTATTTACTAACGCAAATTGCCCTAATGCTTCAAAATTGGGGTTGGCGACGCGTAACCGACCGGACATATTCGGCCTGTAAGTCTCATATTACTAAATACAATCATAATTTTTCATACTTTTTAGGATGGATAAGTTCAGGGACATCATTCCTATTAATTTATCATCTTGGTTTTCAATCGTTTTGCCGTAAGTCATTTATAACCTACGGCGACACGACTATACCTTTTATCGTGAGATCACCCAGATACCTAAGACGAATTTTGAACGAAACTCAATTTCGGAAAGACGCTTAGGTGCGGTTCTCTTTGCTATAATGATGAAATAGAATATTTATTCAATAAATTTTCGCTGGACGGTGGAACCTACAATGGGGAGGAATGGGTTATTTCATCAATGCAAATCGCTATAGGTACTAACGGAAAACCAATAATTTTAGTCTTCATTTAAGGCCTCAAATGGAGGCCAAAATGCCATCAAAATCACTTACTTCCTATTTCAGTGATCCTTCTTAAAATCTAATGGACCCCGCACACTTCTTATGGGAAAGTGCACCACCATCGATTTTTGATTTTTTTACTGCATTCAATTCATCTTCAGATGCTGATCAAAAGTGATTCATTGCGCCAACTTTCTACGATGCACCGTTTTCGCACAATACGCCCGGAACGTTTTAATTCTTCAGCGATGAAGAGTCAAAAAGAACGAGGCCTTCTAGAACAGGTCTGATTCGAATAAGGAAAAACGTAGCGAATTTTTGTCCTCTGATGGGGAATCATTTCTAAACGGGACCTTCGAGGTTAAAAAAACCAACTCAACTTGTGCGCGATAAAATGTGCTCCGAATAGGAAATAATACCTTCAATTTTATGAAACGAGTTCACTTTTCATTTCAAGTTCCTAAATTCGCAAGATTTTCCAGTTTTCTGAAGGCATGTTCAAATCAGTGATTCTTAAGGTTAAGTTTGGAGCAATCTTTGTTCACCACATATTGCATCTTTAAGATTTACAACCACATGCAGTTATAGTCAAGTTCCTCAACAATATCAAACAACCCTCAAAGAGCAAAGCAAAAGTTAAAATATACAGGGTTATCCAAAAGTCACTGACCACCCCTGTAACTTTTTTCCAAATTGAGATAGAAGTTTTAAACTTTGGCAATGTTCCTCGGTCTGAAGTAGCAACTTTTTGGTCCCCTCAAAATTTTAGGGGGCGGCCTCACCTAAGGGGGCGGGGGCTAACTTTTTTTTTTTCAAATGGCAGCCCCCCCTTTGTGATACCTCATTCGAAAGATAATAAAAAAAAAGTTTTTGGCGCAAACCGCAGGTCAAAATGTTAATTTTTGACAAAATGGCGGCCAGTCAAAGGTTCAAAATGGCGGAAATCTAACATCTCCGTTGTTTATTGACGGATTGGCGTTAAACTCGGAATGTGAGGGTCTTTTGAGACGAGAAAAACGATTCTGGCATTGGTTTTCCAAAAAAGTCAGTCCTTTTTAAAATGGCGGCGGTCAAAATGGCGGATTAGTTAGTATTTCAACAATCTCATGAAAGATTCCTAGATTCCTTTATATCGAGCCAAAAACCACCAGTATATCGGATTTCATGCGAATCCATCGGTAAACAGCCGTAAAACTGATTTCCCGCCATTTTTCCGCCGCCACTTTGAAATTAGTCGGAATTTCAGATATCCATTGAAATATTCGTTCTTCTCGTGCCGAAGTACCCCTGCAAACCAAGTTTCATGCAAATCCAACGATGAGCAGCCTAAATATCCACTTCCCACGCTAGGCCGCCATTTTGAAAAGGACTGACTTTTCTGGAAAACCAATGCCAGAATCGTTTTTCTCGTCTCGAAAGACCCTCGCATCCCGAGTTTAACGCCAATCCGTCAATAAACAACGGAGATGTTAGATTTCCGCCATTTTGAACTTTGACCGGCCGCCATTTTGTCAGAAATCAACATTTTGACCTGCGGTTTGCGCCAAAAACTTTCTTTTTTTATTATCTTTCGAATGAGGTATCACAAAGAGGGGGGGTTGCCATTTGAAAAAAAAGTTAGCCCCCGCCCCCCAAAATTTTGAGGGGACCAAAAAGTTGCTACTTCAGACCGAGGGGCATTGCTAAAGTCTCAAACTTCTATCTCAATTTGGAAAAAAGTTACAGGGGTGGTCAGTGACTTTTGGATAACCCTGTATGCAATTTTTTTCCTCATTTCATGGGGCATGTGAAAATGTAGGTAACGTCCGCAACAGAAAAGCCTCTAAACTTGACGCCATTTAACGCAGGAGCCAGTTTAGAAGTTCATGTTTGGTAAACGATAGGACATAATCTTCATTGATACTCTAGCAGTATCAGAATGTATTTAAATACTTCAGTTTTCATGTTACACAGAGTCGAAAAAGTGTAACGTCCGCAACGCAGAGGACGTTACACATAGCTCTAGAAAGAAGAATCGAACATTCAACCTTTTTGATATGCTGCTATTATAAATTCAGGTATACACTGTAGCAGCCCTATTATGTTTCACTTTATTTTTACATTTGAAGTGTGTTCAATTTTAAATTTAATTTCGGTAAAACGTTTTTTATTATTTTCTGAAATATTTGATAAAGTCCAGATGATGTGCATTTAAATGCAATCTAATTATTCATCGTAACTCCTTTTAACTTCTCTTTACGTTCAACGAAAAAAGTTATTATGTCCATCCTGCGGTTCCTGCTATAACAGCGTTACTATAATGCACACGTGGGGGCCTACATCGGTAATGCTTCACATTGCTGCCATCTGTCGATGCCCGCGAAAATCACCTTTTCGTGATTTTTTCAACATGTTATTAAGTGATATTTTCGTGTGCAGTGAAAAACTCAAAGGAAATTTTCGGGGCAGCGTACTTGGTCAGTTATGGATTTTTTGATGATGGTGTAGGTTAAAATTCTTCGCACTGCCCGAGTTTGAGAGCATAATTACAAAATTTTCACGCTCATCGGCATCCCCACTTTCGAAGTTGGAACACCCGTTTTACCTACTAAGGTGGCAGGAGAGCTTAGGGGAGGATGAAATTCAGATTCCTTGGGAACAATTTCCCCTTCATGTTTGCCATCCCCGATTTCGTTGGACCTGAAATAACTGAAATAAATAACCTTATACGGGTGATCTGGGACACCCTGTATTTTTCTAAAAAGGTGCATTTTTGTACCTACCCATGACAAACGTAACATCTCTTACTTATAAATGTTCTGTACCCTCTACTGAAACTACATGGACACCTATTTGCTGAAGCTAGTTTATACACTTATATTACACCTAATTTATGTGTTTTTTAATACCTGCAAAAAGGACACTTTATAGAATATTTTATCATGACATTTTAAACCTATTTTCTGCTACCTACTTAATATCCTACTTAAAAGGTATTTGAATATCTTGAGGGTATTACATATCACATTTTGGCTACTATAGGGAGGCGGAGGAGGAGTAGCTGAAGAGAAAGTCAGAATTCAAGTATTCACGGAGAAAATAGTCGGTGCCTACGCACTTCTTCCATCGACCAAACGTTTTTCAACTCCGCTGTACTGAGGTACAGTCAATGAAGCGCGTATACTTGATATATTTTGACAAAAATATCCTCGTTTTGTTACAGCGCTCGTAATTCAGTTTGCTTTCTTGGCGTCATTTTCCTGGTTGAATACCATGTGCATTGACATTTGGTGGACGTTTAGGTAAGCTTTTTGGTAAGAAAGGACATATCGACGGTGAAACTACCAAACCACGTATCTCGTTTGCGGTGTTTAAAAATCTACGCTCACATTTTATTTTTTTGAAGTAGACCAAATCAATATCATTCCTTGAAATTTTCTCCACACAAAGAGGAAAAATCACAGAAATTTTCAAGACTGGATGTTAAGTAGTTTTTCATTTAAAAAATAAAGTATGACAGGAAGTCTGCGACGTCGCAAACCGAGATACGTGGTTTGGTAGTTTCACCGTCGATATATCATCTAAATTTAGTATGTTTCGGACTCTCGCAATCCACAAGCAAATTTATTTTAAAACTGTCTTAATTTCTCCAAAACCGCACGCGGCAGTATCGATAGGGATGCTGTTTTATGACATTGAAACAATATTCCTTTTAAGACAGAAAGTCACATTGCTGGGGGATATTCCCGTATGCATACAGGGTGCGGCAAAAGTCTGGAGACGGCCGTTTATTTTTTTAACGGTTGCAGGGAGAAAAACGGAATTCGGAGGATGTTCCTAGGTCCGTAAGAGCTACTTTATGGCATATCCAAAAATTTTGGGGGGCGGCAACCCCAAGGGGGGGGGCGGACCCCAACATTATTTTTTCAAATGGCAAACCCCCCCCCCCTTTGTGATACCTTTTTAGAAACAGCATAAAAAACGAAACATTTTCGCGCAAACCCCAAGCCGCCATCTTGATTTTTCACAAAATGGCGGAAAATGAGCATCTACCTACGAAGTTTGCCAATCAATCTGCATGAAAATTTGTATCCCATGGGTTTTAGGACGAGTAAATCGAATTTGACATCAGACGGTTTACCTAATCCCCAAAATTTGCCAAGATGGCGGCATTCAAGATGGCCGAAAATTGAAATTTCCGGTTGTTTATCGATGAATTAGTACGGAATTTGGTATCCCAACGTTTTTTGGAACGAGAAAATCGAATTTGGTATCAGTTCAACCTAATTCCGAAAATTTTCTAAGATGGCGGCATTCAAGATGGCCGAAAATTGAAAATTCCGGTTGTTTACTGATGGGATTTGTACGGAACTTGGTATCTCATGGTTTTTGTGGACGAGAAAATCGAATTGAGCATCAGTTTCTCCAAATGAATTACAGATAAGTACATGAAAATGTTTAATTGGAAGAAAATATTACAAATATAAAGCAAGCGCTCGAAGTGATGACCTCCTACGTGTTGACAGATTCTCATTCGAACGTCCGTACCTTGTCTCACGTTGTGTAAAATTTCCGGAGTGATGTTGTTAATCTCGTGCAGAATATTCGCCTTGAGCTCATCAACTGTCACCGGTTTGGACTTTTAAACTTTAATCTTCAGCCCCCCCCCCCCACCACAAAAAGAAATCTAAGGGTATGTTCAAAATTGTACGAGGATCATCCAAAAATGAAGGTTCCGTACCTTGTATCTTCCGAACGAAATGAGATACATCAAATTGGTAAATAGTCACATATTAGGCATACTCTAAGCTTTAAAACAAGCCATCGTTTTTGAAAATCAGTCAAGGGATTCGTGAGAAAACCTAATTTTACTGAGACAACCTCCTGTCGCCGATTGCCCACCTCTGGGGTCAGGATGCGCGGAGAGTCGATTATTTAAGACTCGGGCATTCGCCTTTAAATATCACATCAAAAAATAGTTTAAAGTTTTCTTTGAGTAGGTCTTAACTTACTTTTTGACGTAGTTTTCACATCTCTTTTGATATTTCTAGTATTATTACGGCAGCTTTTTGATGCCGTCCGCGTAAAAGCTCTCGCCTTGGCTCCGAAACTAGTCATTGACAGCGATCTGTACCTCTGAATTGGTTGGCAATCACTTTTCTTCGTGAAAGTTTTTCCACTCGGGAAGAGATGAAAGTCACATTAGGCTGAATTAAGAGAGTATGGAGGATCGGGGAAAAATTTCCCGACGCAAAGCAACTGATTTGGAAGTGCAGATCGCTGTCAATGACTGGTACACTTTTTAACTCCCTTAGACTTCTTTTTGTGGGGGGGGNGGGGGGGGGGGGGGGGGGCTGAAGATTGAAGTTTACAAATCCAATCGGTGACAGTTGATGAGCTCAAGGCGAATATTCTGCACGAGATTAACAACATCACTCCAGAAATTTTACACAACGTGAGACAAGGTACGGACGTTCGAATGAGAATCTGTCAACACGTAGGAGGTCATCACTTTCGAGCACTTGCTTTACATTTGTAATTTTTTCTTCCAATTAAACATTTTCATGTACTTATCTGTAATTTATTTCGAGAAACTGATGCTCAATTCGATTTTCTCGTCCATAAAAACCTTGAGATACCAAGTTCCGTACAGACCCATCAGTGAACAACCGGAATTTTCAATTTTCGGCCATCTTGAATGCCACCATCCTGGAAAATTTTGGGAATTAGTTTGAACTGATGCCAAATTCGATTTTCTCGTTCCAAAAAAACGTAAAAAGTTAGATGGGGGGGAGGCACTATTCTAACACCCTGTAGATTAGATTTTGTAGCATTATTTCAATAAAATATGCAAACTTTCAGAAATTTTTAAAAATATATGGAGAAAAACAAATTGAAAAAAGATTTAAACAGTCAAAAAAAGAATTGAAAAAAAACAGGAAACAAAAAAAAATTGAAAAAAAAAAAACAGGAAACAAAAAAAATTGAAAAAACCAAAAACAGAAAACAAAAAAGAATCAGAAATACAGAAAAAAATAAAAAAAAAACAGAAAAGAAAAATGATATATCTCGATAATCCGAGATCGGAGGAAGGGAATAATGAGAAGCCCGGAAATGCGTGTACCAACAAGCTACGCCATTTATTGAATGAGAACAGCTGCCCCAGCAGGGCTACCACACCTACAAGGGCAAATCTCCCTTGCAATACATGCTAAGTACCAACCTATGAATTATTCGTATATGACAAAAAATAAATTATAAAAGAAAGGTAAAATGAACGAAAAACTTCATTAAAGATAAATACCGTGACTTGGTGAAGAAGCTTACCCATTATTTTTAATTGCAGTTTAGAAGAAAATAATGCTCCAAAATGTAATCTATAACAAAGTTCTATAAACAATACGGTGTGACATACGGTAATCATTAAAACAAATAAAATACGTGAATTTTTCCGGGATCTAAACTCTGCAGGGGACCAACAGTTTTACTTTATTTCTAAAAAGTTTGACTGAGGATCTTAATTTATCCACAAAATCCCCCGTTTTGGACCACTGTGAGATGAAAATTTATGAAGCTGGAAACAATATAATACATTGAGGACCATTAAGAACATTGTTAGCCGTGAAATCTGCAGAAGACCGACAGTTTTACTTCCATTTTTAAAAATTTGACGAAGAATCTTAATTTGTCCACGATTTCTCCCCATTTTGGACCAGTGTACGACCGAAATGTTTGTAACTGAATACAGTAACATGCACGGGGGCCCAATAAAAACACTTACAGCCAAAACCCATGAATTGTGTAACTTTTCCGTCCATTTTCCCGTCTTTTTGCTGTAAAAATGCTGTCCAGAATGATAGCAATTTGGCAACTTTGCCCCCCCCCCCATTTCTCAAAAACCGTGCGTTTACTGAAGGTAAAATTTTTCCCAGAGTGTTAGGGTATCATAAGGTATCGTTTGGGTCCGGTTTCAGAAAAATCCCTGCTGATCCAAATTGTACCATTCTTGGCGTCGGTCTTTCCTTAATATCTACCCTTAAATAGCACTCTAAGTTATATTTTAAGTTTAAAAACACATTTTTGTAGGAGGTTTTTCTTAAAAGGTTTTGTCATTAAATCCGCAATATTTTCACCTCAAAATACTTCATGGATAGCAATTCCATGGTAACTCCATGGGATTTACTGACTCCATGGTGACTACATCGGATTCCACGGTGACTTCATGGTAATGAAATGAATCTCATGAATCATGGTCATGAATCTCCGTGGTGACCACATAATTTTAAGATGATTTTCTACCTCATTATTTTATAAAATTGTTATACAAGCAAGTTGTTAGTTGTATATAAAACTTTCGGGCGGTTCTGACGCCTCGGTCAAGTGCCAAATTACTATTTGTTGTTTAAAGAAAATTACGCAATTGATTATACAAATCTGACTCTGCGGCCCTCGGATCTTCGGTCTCGTCCCCCCTCCCCCCCCCTGCGTTCCGCAGATTTTAGATTCGGTCGGCGGACTTCCCGACTTCTGGCTTCTCCGTTGTGTATTTATTTCATTTATATTTTTAATCTTTTATTTTATTTACTTTTTACTTTAATATTGTGTATTTTACTTGTATATTTTAAAATATTTTATTTAATTATTTTCATACATTTCATTATTTATTTAATTTATTATATTATAATTTACTAATTTAATTTATTACTAGAATATAAGATTTATTAGGCCATAGAGTATCTAATGGCTGTGAAGACACATCTAGTGAGTTTTAACACGATATTAATTTATTTTATTAATTTTTTTGTAATTTGTTGCATATATTGTTTCATTTATGTTTTATATGTATGTATATTTATGGTTTTAAATGATGTTTACGACCTTTACCATGGAAATAAAATGGTATCATCACGATATCTTGAGGATATCAAAATTCCTGCATAATGACAAAATATGATTTCCTCAGGATATTCTCAAGAACATATTTTTTTCCACGCCCTTCAGATAAAATCATTAGATCTCTTCCGGATATCTCACACGATTTCCTCCGGAAACATTTTACTGCTGTTCCATGGGAACCTCGTTATGATTTCTCCGCACTATCATAAAATGATGTCTTGGGCTAGTAACAATATGATATCTGTTAGGGTCATCCCCTGAGGTGATGAGAGGATTGGACACGAGATTCTCAACGGATGCAGGTGTGATGACAAACTGTATTGCCAGATGCCAAGTCCGACATCCCCGGACAGCTAGGCAACAGTGCTGCCTCAGGTGGCAATGTATAGAAGTACTTAACATGACAAGTTCCTTTTTTTTTTTCTTTTTTTTTTTCTTTCTTTTAGAAAATTGTAAGTCTGTGGGAGTTGATTCTCCACATACCGCTGTATGGGGCCGAACTACTTAGCATGCTTTAAGGGAGTTACTGAACAATTTGACTTAGTAGACGTAGAAGATTGACATTAGATACAAAGTGGAATTGGCTTGTAGAATTATTTGCTGATGCGGCTGAAAGGAAAATTATATTTTGGTCTTCGTAGAATTAAATAGACATAGTGAGCACAGTTTGAGCATCAAAGACAAAATATGTTAAAGATTGTTGTTTGCGAGAACCAAACATCTATTTTACATTGAGAGAATTTTGTGCATTTGTGATAATAATTTAAGGAAAATATGAAATGACATACCATTAAGACATTCTTTCAAGGAAGTATGGATCTAGACGGCAATAATAGCCTGATAACACAATTTTCAAGTCTAGTGTGGAGTTAACATAGGGAAATGGTTCAATAAATGAACATGAATAATCATGATTTGCCTGATTTTAGACTTGAGTTTTTTTGGTTTTTTTTTTTGGGGGGGGGGGAAGGGGGCAGGTGTTAAGGTGTGGTTACCACTTATCAATGAGAAATGATTTTTTCCATTCAATTGAGACAAGACACTTGCTACAAATTTTTGCGTAGAAGGACCATAATTTTATGTTGAGAAAAATGACGTTCCGTAACAATAAAGTAACTGGAGTCGGACAGCGTTTAATAGCTGGCTATGACAGTTCCACAGTATCTAAAGTAGGATTTATGTTAACGGAGACAAGAGATACGACAAAATTTTACGTTCCGTAACAATAAAGTAACTGGAGCCGGACAGCGTTAAATAGCTTGCTACAACAGTTCTACAGTATCTGAAGAAGGATTGATGTTAACGGAGAGAAGAGATACGATACAATTTTAGACCAGAAATGTGTAGACTCACGACTAGAAGCGTTTGATCAGACGACAAGACAAGACAAGATCGGGGACGTTTAGCTGGACACAGAGGACAGACATGATGCGAAGGACAGACAGACAGGGAGACGAGACGGACAACTTGACCAAGACACACAATTTTGACCTGGACTGGACGTATTTGACGATAGACAAAATTGGTGAGGGCCATTTCGGACGCTATGCTTTACGTGACGCATGGACTTGACTAAAAAATTTGACGGCTTGACGATTTCAACTTCATAGCACGAGGGACGACTTGATCAGCTTGACATCGGCCTGACAGTTCGCGGAAGTTTGAGGTTAGAAAGTTCGGGACGAAAACGGACGGTAAATTGTACACTTGCATACACAAAATCAAAACTAATATGTTTTTAAAGATATCCTCAAGATATAACTTATCAGTTGGCACGTTACTAGGGTAGACTTACAATTTACTTAAAATATAAAAATAAATTATAATTGTACCTAGGTAAAGGTTGTAAATCTCATTTAAGCCCCAATCCATGTGAGTTAACTACCAGCTGCAAGCTGAAAACATATATATATATGTAAATAAATTAAATTTTTCCTTAACAGCGACTGGACAGCCTTTAGAAGCACTATTCAGAATAAATCAGACAGATGGAAGCTTACAGTTAGCTCGCTTTATGCGTGGGGCTTTCCTTCCTTTATTTGTTCCTTCACGGCACTGGTTAATTACCTTTTTCGAATGGCAAAAAGCGGCAGGCAACGAGTTAACATTGTTTTCCCCGATTGGATGGATCCTGATATCGGCGAAAAGAGATGCTTCTTTGGGAGTAAGTTACCTTTCTGTCCATAATTGATGTTGGGCTTTCAATTCAAATAGGTAGCAGGTCCTTCTAAACATCATAATTTCCGCTGTCTGTCCTTTTTCGATGCCAGGATTTTGGGTTTGAGGCGCTGCTGCGCCTTTGCACGGGCTCCGTTCGGTAAAATATTTGGCATAGAGTGTACCTGACTTTGAAAATATGAAACATTCAGCATAATCCAGGTGGGGCCAGAAAAGGCCCTTAACGATACTTCTTTTCCTCGCTGCAAAAAAACAACATTAAATGTCAGTTGCTTTACTTGCCTTAAATAATAATTTTTCACGTGAATTGTTTACGTACAGGAAACTTACAAACAAAGATCAAGTTCATTAAGTTCAAGCTTATTTACATGCGACAACTAATATGAGTATCCGATATTAGTTTCGTAAGATTGAACTAATTACCTACCTACTAACTTTATAGAAACTCATCGCTTAGAAATTGTGCAGATAGAAATTGTGCATTTAGCAAAATCCAGGTAGGGCCGGAAAAGGCCCTTAACGGTACTCCTCCTTCAATGTAGGCTTATAGAATCCATCGAGATTTGGGCCCGAAACCCCTCGATACTCGAAATAGCTATACCGTTAATGGAGTGGAGGTCGACCTTTAACAAGACCAAATCTTGACTTTCTGCTTTCTGTGGATCTTCATTTTAATGTTATGTTATTGATGTGTCTTAAGCACGAAATGGGACCACATTTACCAGCACACCGTAAAAGATCCACCAGAAAAGATAATTTTGATCCAAACTTAATTCTCCCAGCACACCTCCCTCTTCCCCCCTACACGGAGAGTTATGTACGGATTGATAGCTCTAGGGGCTACTTTTCACACATCACACTGAATACCGGACATTTAATATGTGTCAGTACTTATGATCTCATATAAATATTTAAAGAACTAACCTTTTTCCCTATGTTAGGTGTATCTACTTTTCTCTAAAATATGTGTTTATTTTTTCTTGTGTCCATGATACAGTTATTTGTTTCAGTTCGAGTAGATGAGGTGCCATGATTGTTTTCTGTCTATAATTGAGATATTTTCTGCTCTCTTTATGTGTTCTGTTTAAAACTAATTTTTGAAATCAGTTTTCTTTGCTCCCCCCCCCACTTTTTCCTCCTTACATTGAATTATATCGTCATATCATTCATTCTTAGTTATCTATTGGATCCTCTAGTTCGCCGCGTTTGCGTGTATCCCGGTGCCATTTATTCACCGCACCGCCGCATTTTTTACAAATTCTATTATAAAAATTGAACAAAGAAAAGAAAAGAAACTATCCCACACAAATGATCCGTGCATGCATATTGTATATTACACATAATATGAGAAGGCTTAAACTGCAAGCATCTCGGCAATTCCGGCGGGCACGCGCCCGGAGCTTCGAAAACCTCCCCTCCCTTTATCACCCCAGGTGTCCTACTAAAATTTTCGGCCTAGCCAGTTGATGGTCCATACCTACTTTCATTGTAATGTATACCAATTTTCACGTTTCTAGGTGCTTCCAAACTTACGCGCGTTATGATTTTTGTCCTCCCTACCCATAAGGTCACAGCAATGTGCCACGCGGCGAGGGGCTCAGGACGGCTACAACGGTGCGTGATGGGTACCGCGCGTCGAAACCCGCGCATAAAAATGGTCGTAATTTCTATACTAATCGTTTCATTGAAAAGTATAGCATGTCGCTCGATATGGAACGAGACGAAAAATCGCCTGGACGTACTTTCTTTGAAAATAAAAAAAATGACTTTTTTGGGTATTTACGAATTTATGTAAAATTCTACTGATCAAATTGCAATAAAAGATGTAACTTGTCAAGTTAATGTGACGTTCCATCCGAGAAGCATAGGTACATAAAGCGAAAATTTATAATTTTTAAACTTTATAAATTGTTCTGATTGTTCGTTATCCAAAATGGAGGAAAGGGTCTTGAACAGAGGTTTGAAAACCTACCATACATTTAACAGAAAAGTGGAAGATTACATGGTAGATGTAGAGTAGATACCTACTACCAAGAGAAGAAAAAAAGACTTCCAAGAGAGACTGCCTTCCTCTTTTAAAGATTATTAAGGTAGATGAATCTAATCTTTAAGGAGAAGAAAAAGAGTTTTTTAAGGTAGCTAAACAATTAAGAATGAAAAACTCGATTATCATGAAAAACAACAAAGGAAGTCTAGTGTGGAGTTAACATAGGGAAATGGTTCAATAAATGAACATGAATAATCATGATTTGCCTGATTTTAGACTTGAGTTTTTTTTTTTTTTTTTTTTTTTGGGGGGGGGGGGAAGGGGGCAGGTGTTAAGGTGTGGTTACCACTTATCAATGAGAAATGATTTTTTCCATTCAATTGAGACAAGACACTTGCTACAAATTTTTGCGTAGAAGGACCATAATTTTATGTTGAGAAAAATGACGTTCCGTAACAATAAAGTAACTGGAGTCGGACAGCGTTTAATAGCTGGCTATGACAGTTCCACAGTATCTAAAGTAGGATTTATGTTAACGGAGACAAGAGATACGACAAAATTTTACGTTCCGTAACAATAAAGTAACTGGAAGCGGACAACGTTTTTTAATAGCTTGCTACGACAGTTCTACAGTATCTGAAGTAGCCCTGCTAAAAATGAGTGCAATGTTAGCATATTAATAGCAATGTGACTCTGTATCAATCCATCATACTTACATAGGCGTAGCTAGGCCATTTTGCTGGGGGGGCCTGGCCCCCCACCACCGGGGGGTCTGGGGGGTATGGAATACCCCCCAGGTCAGCGGGGGGTCCGGGGGGTCTCCCCCGGAAAATTTTTGAAATTTTAACTCTATTTGAGCGCATCTCGAGGCACTTGTGGCATTAATCTTCCTTCAATTTCTGCATAAAATTCACCCAGTTTTATGCATTTTAAGGTTAAAATACTTTGAAATTGTTGCATTCAACAGGTTATTCCATTTATTTTCTCACTTTTAACCACT